TGGGGCCTAGGCTTAGTAGCCTAGGCCCTAACTTAGTATCGAGCGGGTTTTCCCCTAGGGTGAGAGTCGAGTGAGTTGAGAGGAAAATTGTGAAAAGGTGGGTTTCACTATAGGTTCAGGGGTACATATAGCATAGAAACACAATAAGGTGCACCACCAACAAAAGTTTACATAACTACACTAACTACAACTACAAGCAATTATAAAACATGACAAAATATTTCGACACGCCCCCATAATGCTTGTAGGTAGGTGTGTAGTTACAGCAACAGCAGGTACCCCTACCATCTCCTCACCCTCCTCCTTCCCCTCCCCAACACTGCTGCAGAAGCAGCAGAGAAAGGGGGGAAAGAGGAAAGGTGGAGGGACGGCTGCTTGTTGCCTCACCCCCGCCACCCCGGTACCACCCCCCCCCCTTCACCCACATCCTCACACCCTCCTCCCCCAGCGGCAGCTGCAGCGGTGGGACTGAAAGAAGGAGGAGGGAAAGGGAGAGAGTTGACCCCACGCTCCAACACCCTCCACCCCCATACCCTCCTCCCCACGGCTGCAGGGAGACAAGAGAAAGGGGGGGGTGGGAAGGAAGAAAGCCGCAGAGCGGCGAAGAGGCGTCGGTGCAGATGGGTCAGGGACGGCAGCAGGGAGTGCAGGGGCGGAGAGGCCCGTCGCGGGCCAGTGCCACGGGGCGCACGACGGGTAGGATAAAAGGGCCCGATCGTGTGCCTCGGGGCGCACGACGAGCAGGGCACCATCGTGTGCCTCGGGGCGTACGATGGGCAGATAAAGGGCACCGTCGCGTGCCACGGGGCGCGCGACGGGCAGGATAGGAGTCACACGCCCGTGGGCGGGACAAGGTAAAACTAAAATCGTCACGCGCCCTAGGCGCGCGACCGGAAAATCTCAGCAGCGGAAGAGTAACGCGGGCCCACAGGCCAGGACGAAAACAGCTCTGATACCATGTCAAGATAGTAGGTAATAGAGAGTAGAAACGTGGGGCCTAGGCTTAGTAGCCTAGGCCCTAACTTAGTATCGAGCGGGTTTTCCCCTAGGGTGAGAGTCGAGTGAGTTGAGAGGAAAATTGTGAAAAGGTGGGTTTCACTATAGGTTCAGGGGTACATATAGCATAGAAACACAATAAGGTGCACCACCAACAAAAGTTTACATAACTACACTAACTACAACTACAAGCAATTATAAAACATGACAAAATATTTCGACAGTGAGAACACTGTTAGCCGGTAATGGGCAAAGAACGGCCGAACTAGTGAACAGTGTTGTACGCGGTCAAGTGTGATGCGCAATAAGGAATGCAAAAAAATCCTTACACTTTGTAATATTCGCTCATGCCTTCGCTCACATTGTGCCATTCTGCTAGAATACTGCGGAATGAATGTGACTAACAGGAGATTGGTACATATGGCAAACCCTAGAAATTATTGTACCCAATACAATGCACCTCGTTGTAGCCTAACAAACCTAGCACACACATAAATATACTTTAACACACCCTATAGGCTAGGTGAGGGGCATCAAGCAAATAAGAGAGACAGATGGTCAGAAGACCAATCAACAAACGAAACAAAGTAAGAGCTGCAACTCAGGGTGGTACGACTAGCCAGCCTCTTAAACAAACGGCCACAAGGCCAGTTCAAGAGTTCATCTCTATATGAACAACAAAACAAGGAGAGCAAGGCACAAGAGGCAAGCCTACAACAAACAAGGGCATGCCTGAACAGGGCCAATCTACGAACAGAAGTTGTGGTGGTCACCAAGCGGGAGATCCTTGGTGAAGACGTCCATAGTGTTGGCCTTTGAGGCCACAAAGACCAAGCATGCATGGCCGCGACGCTGTAGCTCTCGTAGCAAGAAGTACCGCAGCTCGATGTGCTCCACTCTGCTCTTTAGTCGAGGCTCTCGACACAAGAGGATCATGGCCTTGTTATCTGCGAACAATGACGGTGTAGAATTAGGCCACTCACCTAGGTCAGTGCGCAAGAAAGTTAGCCAGCGGAGCTCCTGAGCAGCCATGACACCGGCGTAGATCTCGGCCTCATAGATGGACAAAGCCACAGACGACGCTCGTATTGACCTCCAAGACACAATTCCAGAGCCTAGGCAAAAACTGTAACCCTGTGCAGACATGCGAGTATCCTTGTCGTCCGTCTACGACGATTCAGTGTGCCCGGTAAGTTGCACTGGCTGGCCTCCTCCAAGTACAAGCACCATGCTTGATGTGGTCGTCAGGTACTTTGCTACCCTCTTAGCGAGTGTTTAGTGAACGAGACGGTGTCTCCCAATTGGAACATAGCGAGCAAGGACGCAAAGTACATGAGGCAACCCACAAGCTCTGCCTAGCGACCACTCAGCTCAACAGGCTCGTCGGAAATAGTAGCAGTTAGTATGTGGTCAACAACAAGAGGAGTGGGCTCTATGGTGGAGAACTGGAAGCCGAACCATTGAAGTACATGCTACATCATGTGTGACTAAGTCCAAGCGATGGTGCATACTGCTCTGTCCTTGGTGATCTAGAAGCCAAGACAGCTAAGCAGCTCACCAAGGCCAGTGCAGGTGTGTCTCTTATGCATTTTTTTAATTCCTTGAAGCCAGAGCAACCCTGTTTGCAATAGCAAGGACCAAGTCGTCGACAAAGACGAGGACAAAGAAAGGAGCAAAACCGGAATGTACGAACAATGACGGGCCAGCAGACGAAGGACCAAAACTGAGGTGAGCAAGAATGGTAAGCAAGAATGGTGCGCAGAGTGTCGTGCCACTAACGAGGCGCCTAGCGCAGTCTGTAGACTAGCCGTCTCAAGCTCTACGGGGTCCCAAGCAGGAATGTGCAAGTTAATTCAGAAGGACTGCGTAGCCAAATCTCCTCGTGCAGGCTGCCCTGGAGGAAGGCGGTGAAAAAGTATAGTAAGTGCAGCTCGTAGTCTCGTTGTGCTGCAACGTGCAGTAGCACCCGAACAGTAGTCATGTTCGGGGTGGGGGAGAAGGTCTGAAAGGAGTCGACTTCCTCATCCTGTTTGAAGCCTCTAGCCGCGGAGCGCCTTGAAGACATGCGGCAATCCAGGTGGCTGCTTCACCTTGAAGATCCACATGCCATCGACTATGTTCGCCCAGGGAGGGAGATTTACGTGCACATGTACCTCCAAGACGCCATCTCTAGGTCTATGGCAACTATCCACTGAGAGGCCTGCCTTAGCAGAAGTACTAGGAGTTGGGATGTCTGGAGCATAAGGGTCTCCCTTAAGGGCTAGCAGCATGGCACAGAGATGGGGAGCAGTGGCCGCAAGGAACTCCAGCTCAAACTGGATGTCCACTAGGACATAACAACCAAGAGCAACACTACCAGAGGATAGTAGGAGAGAGGCCACCAAGCGGTTGGCGCAGTCAATGCGACGGGTGGCGGCAAAGTCAGTGACAGCGCAAAGTCTGCGATAGCGGCAACAAGGGCCAAAACAGACGACGGAGGGGCAGTAGGGTCCGTGACAAGAGAGGAGAGAATATGTGAGACAACAAGGCAAGGAAAACAATAATAGTTAGTGGGAGACAATGAGGAAACAGACGAGAGGACAGATGGAGGTTGAGCACGAGGAGGGAGAGTACGAAGGAACAAAGAGGTCCCGAATAGAAGACGAGTGTCGATCACCCGCGGGACGACGAACGGTCCAATGGGACTGGTAAAATAGGAGGAGACGTCCGTGAACTAGGATGAGAGAGAGTCGGAGACGTGTCCGGAGGAGGAAACGGAGGACCGTACACATGAGGAAACGGGAACACGTCAACCACCACCAGGATGGAGCTCTCCTGACCCAACCCATCGACTGGGATGGGGCCCCAGACGTTCAAGTGCAAAGTTTGGAGGGGTGAGGTGGCTGGCGCAAGGGAGGAGTGAGGGGTGGTGCACAGCCTACCCTCAATGCAAGGAGTGCACGGCGGCGAATGCGAAGGAGGAAACGACGGAAGCTAGTGCGGGAGACATGAAACAAGACCGTGCCTAGACATGTGGTGGAGGCGAGGGAGTGAAGTCTGACCTAGACGGTGGTGCCACATGACTGAAGGGTCGGAGAGGGACCGATAGGAGCACGACGCAGCAGCCTCACCAGACGCAGCTACCTAGGGGGGGTTCACTGTGCAGTGTGAAGAGACTTGACGAAGGCTATTGGGAGAACGTTGCCAGAAGTGCCCCAGTGGAAACGGTCGTACAGGTCGCAAACCTCTCGTGCGCAGGAAATTGACCGTGACCCCGCGGTCCTGAAGGTGTCCAACACCCACCAAGTTATTGGAGAGGGAAGTGGAGACCAGGGAACAAGTAGGGGAGGATGGATACGGGAGCGTGGTAGAACTGCGAGAGACGGCTGGTCGAGAGGTGGGATCAGCCAAAGCAACTTAGACTGGTGCTGGAAGTGGCGTGATAGCGGTGTTCACTTATATGTTACACGCCCTTCGCAAATTGTCAAAACCCCTTATTTGTTCGAACATTTCAATGCTCGTTAAACAATGTTCCAATGTCTTACAGTTGTCCAAATCTATCAGGTGGTGTTGATAGAATTTTGGAAGGGTTTAATATGATTATGGTGTCGGTGTCAATGTCGGTGTTGGTCATGGATATCATATTACTAAGCATGTTATGCGAGTGTTTCCGATTCCTGGTTGCATAAATGTCATTTTAGTGAAACTTTTTGGCTGGAAGTCGAACTGACAAACACACATTTAGTGAAGGCTGTTCTAGTGAAGCATTCAGATCAAAACATGCAAGTTGCTCAGGTCTGGCCCTCTCAGATACCCGCCAGCTTCATCGTAAGTCTTAGATTTCGCGCTGCGCACTGCCCCGCCCTCTGCTCCGTTTCGCGCTGCCCGCTGCCCGCTTCCCCTCTGTCTCCACTGCCTCTAGCACCGCTACTACCTCTCGCCCCACCACACGCGCGTCGTCCGCCCATTCTCCATCGCCAGGCACTTCCACCACCTTGCGTCCATACTTCCAGATCCGATTCAAAATGACGTCATCAGCGATCGGCAAGTGCGCCAGTGACGTCAGCGGCCCTCTGCTGCGCGCGAAGCTGCTCCCCTGGGCTGCCGCCGCCTTGTTTTCCGCCACCTCCCGCGCTTTCTCCGCCGCCAGCAGCAGCGGCGGGCGTTGCGCGCAAGCTGGGGGCGGCGCGGGCGAGGGAGCAGGCGCGGGGGGGGGATCCGGCGGAGGGGGGAACCTCGCGGCGATCAAGGAGCTGCGCGCGCGCACGGGCGCGCCGGTGAAGGACGTGAAGGCGGCGCTGGTGGCGGCCGGGTGGGATCTGGGTGAGGCGTTGCTGTAGCGATGCGGGACTGTAGTGAGGCGTTCCTGTAATGAGGCGGTACTGTAGTGAGGCGGTACTGTAGGGAGGCGGTACTGTAGCGAGGCTGTACTGTAGGGAGGCGGTACTGTAGCGAGGATGTACTGTAGCGAGGTTGTACTGTCGCGAGCGGCACCTACATTCTCCACCGGTACAAGCAGCGGTGCTGGTGGGGGTGGGATGTGCGCGAGGTGCCGTCAGGTGGCAGCAGAGGGGCTTCTGCTGGAGTGTAAGGGACTGAACCACTCAACCACCATGTTTCTCCGCCCACTCCCCCCTCCGCCCCTCTCCTCCCACCTCCCCCCAGACGCGGCATTCACGAAGTTGAGGAGGCGGGGCCTGGCAGCAGCGCAAAAGAAGCGGGCGCGGGTGGCAGCAGAGGGGCTGGTGGGCGGGAGTGACTCCAAGACCACCTTTTCCCCCCATTCTCCCCTTCCCCCCTTCCCCACCTCCCCCAACCCCTGCTTTCCACTTCTCCCTCCCCCTCCCAGACGCGGCATTCACCGAGTTGAGGAGGCGGGGCCTGGCAGCGGCGCAGAAGAAGCGGGCGCGGGTGGCAGCGGAGGGGCTGGTGGGCGTGGCGGTGCGGCGGGGCGTGGGAGCGGTGGCGGTGGAGGTGAACAGCGAGACTGATTTTGTTGCACGCAACGACCTTTTTCAGCTTCTGGTGAGTGCCACCCTCTTCCAGCTGCTTGTGAGTGCACCTTCTGTCAACCCAAAACACACAAAGGGCCTCAACAAAGGGTATGGGGGCGGTGGTGGTGGAGGTGAACAGCGAGACGGACTTGGTTGCCAGGAACGACCTCTTTCAACTGCTGGTGAGTGTCTCCAGTCTTCTCAAAACACACAAACAAGTGCACACAGGTGGCAGGCAAGGCGTGATGGCGGTGGCGGTGAAGATCAACAGTGAGACGGACTTAGTTGCTCGCAACGCAACGGTCTCTTCCAATTGCTCGTGAGTTCGTCTTGTAAGGGGCTAATCTTTCACCTAAAACCTTAAACCTGAACCTTGAGCCTTGAAGCCCACGAGCCTTAAGGATGGTGGCTGCATTGGAAGTGGAGATGAATGCGCATGCAAGGGAGTGGTGGCTCAAGAGCTGACCCGTGAGGTGGGCTTTAAGACGATCATGATTACTGCTATCTGCAGTGAGTGGGAAAGAGTAGTGCACCGACGAAGAAGAAACCTTAGGAGTGAAATCGTTTTCATCAAATGCTGCTGGTGAGGGTGCCATCCCACACGGACGGGTGTGCAAGGCTGAGAGGGCTGAGAGGGGTGAGAGGGTTCTAATCCAAGTACACCCTTTCGGACATGGGCTCTTCTTTCCCTGCCCTCACACACACCTCTCCACCATCTCAATCCCCTTCTGCTCTTACCCCTCCTCTATTCCTCATCTCCTTCTCTCTCTTTCCTTTTTTTCAATCCTCTCTCCTTTCCCTCGTTACCTCCCTGCAGGTTTCCAAGGCAGCAGCCGCAGCGTTGAGCCTTTCACCCTCCTCCTCCTCGTCCTCCGCATCTCTTCCGCTCCCTCTGCCTCTAGCAAACCTTGAAGTGAGTGTGGCATCAAATACCGGGACAGTAGTTGGCAAGTCAGTAGTTAGCATGGTATGGTGTTGGTGATTTCGCGTTCCCTCCACCTGTTATCCGTCTCTTTCCAAGTGGACATTCAATCCCCTTCCCTCCCATTGTCCCACACACATGCACTCCCACTCGCATCTTCACACTTGCACTCACATCGTCCCCGCCGACCTACATCACCGCAACCGCCCACTCCCTCCCTCCCGCCACCAGCAAGCCACACCGTGGATTGACCACCAGAAGCTACCACAAAGCCGGCAGCTGCCAGGCAGAGGTGGTGGCCGTGTGGCCAGCAGTCACGCATTCACTCACACCTCCCACCTCACTCCCCTCTCCACCCCTTCCTGCCCTTCATCCCCTCCCACCTCCAGCTAGCTACAGTGTGGTTCGACCACCACTATCACAAAGAGGGCAGCTGACAGGCAGAGGCGGTGGCTGTGTTGGTGGGATTCACACCTCCCAAGTTCCAACTAATTCCCCTCCGCATCCCTGCCCCCCTTTCCTTTCCACCACCAGCAAGCCACGGTGTCATTCGACCACCCGAAGCTGACGGGAAGTCGCCAGCTGGCAGAGGCGGTGGCTGAGGTGGCAGCGCTGACTGGGGAGAACGTGCGCCTGCGCCGAGCCTTCCTGCTTCCCGAGCCTCGGCCGTCTGGCTCGGTGGCCACGTACCTGCACAGCAGCCCCGGGGCTGGCTTGGGGCGGATAGCTAGTCTTGTGTCCCTCTCTCTTTCCCAGCCTTCAGGCAGCAGCAGCAGCAGCAGCAGCAGCAGAGAAGGGAGCAGGGCAGAGGCAGGATCAGAGGCAGGAGCAGTGGAGGAGACAGGAGCAGCAGCAGCGGCAGCAGCGGCGGTGGGGGAAGGAGTGGCGATGCATGTGGTGGCGATGAGACCGCTGTATCTGAGGCGGGAGGACGTGCCTGCGGAGGTGGTGGAGAGGGAGAGCGATGTGCTGCGAGCCCAGGTGAGTGTGCGTTGACTCGACGCTACTTAACAGGTGGGGAAAGGAGTGCCAGAGGCAGCAGGGGCGTGCCTACGGGGGTGGTGGAGAGGAAGAGTGACGTGCTGCGAGCACAGGTGAGCGTGTCTTGACCTTTGAGTCGACTCAAAAGTCAACTGGATGCATGTGGTGGCGATGAGACCGCTCTATTATAGGCGAGAAGATGTTCCAGGGGAGGTGGTGGAGAGGGAGAGTGCCGTGCTGCGAGCACAGGTGAGTGTGGGTCAATGCTAGTGAATAGTTGGGCCAGCGCGTCACTAGTGAACGAATTAGTCAATGCATGTCAACCGGTGGGTCAACACTAGTGCAATTGGTCAGCTCTAACCCTACCCTAACGTCACCACCTGTCTCGCCATTGAGTCCTCATCAGCAGCAAGGAAGCAAAGCAGCATCGTGGAGAAATTGTCTCGTGGTGCCTGAATGCTTTCCAGTGGCAGCCGTTTCTCTCTCTTCTTCCACGCAAGTTCTTCAGGCTCTGCTCTTTAGGCTTTTTGGGCTCCCCTGTTTCTCTCTCCTCTCCCATCCAGGCGGTGGCAGCGGGCAAGCCAGCAAGTGTGGTGGAGAAGATGGTGCAGGGGCGGCAGAGGGCTTGCTACTGGCATGTGTTTGACACTCCTCTTTTCTCCTTCCTCCCCTTTCCTCCCTGTTTCCTCTCCCCACCCACGCAGGCGGTGACAGCGGGCAAGCCAGCAGGCGCGGTGGAGGAGATGGTGGCGGGGCGGCTGATTGCTTGCTACAGATTTTTAGACTCCTCTTGTCTTTCTCTCCCATGCAGGCGGTGGCAGCGGGCAAGCCAGCGGCTGTGGTGGAGAAGATGGTAGCGGGGCGGCTGGGCAAGTTCTACGGTGAGGTGGTGCTGATGGAGCAGCCTTATGCCCTGGATGATAAGAGGACCGTGCAGGTGGGTGCTGAGCGGCGAGGCTGACTGAATTACGCAGTACGTACATGTGTCTGGTTCAAAGGGGGCAAGTTCTACGGGGAGGTGCTGCTGATGGAACAGGCATATGCGCTGGACGATAAGAGAGTCGCGCAGGTGAGCATAGGCAGTGTGATCCAAGTCAACTTGCAAGCAGGTGAGCATAGGCAGTGTGATCCAAGTCAACTTGCAAGCAGGTGAGCATAGGCAGTGTGATCCAAGTCAACTTGCAAGCAGGTGAGCATAGGCAGTGTGATCCAAGTCAACTTGCAAGCAGGTGAGCATAGGCAGTGTGATCCAAGTCAACTTGCAAGCAGGTGAGCATAGGCAGTGTGATCCAAGTCAACTTGCAAGCAGGTGAGCATAGGCAGTGTGATCCAAGTCAACTTGCAAGCAGGTGAGCATAGGCAGTGTGATCCAAGTCAACTTGCAAGCAGGTGAGCATAGGCAGTGTGATCCAAGTCAACTTGCAAGCAGGTGAGCATAGGCAGTGTGATCCAAGTCAACTTGCAAGCAGGTGAGCATAGGCAGTGTGATCCAAGTCAACTTGCAAGCAGGTGAGCATAGGCAGTGTGATCCAAGTCAACTTGCAAGCAGGTGAGCATAGGCAGTGTGATCCAAGTCAACTTGCAAGCAGGTGAGCATAGGCAGTGTGATCCAAGTCAACTTGCAAGCGGACTGCGCTTGCATGTCCATGGGGCATGCATGCAGTCCATTCTGCATGCAGTCCATTCTGCATGCAGTCCATTCTGCATGCAGTCCATTCTGCATGCTCGGCTGAGTGCATTCTGCTCTGCATGCCTTATTAACCGCATTCTGCTCTGCATGCCTTATTAACCACATTCTGCTCTGCATGCCTTATTAACCGCATTCTGCTCTGCATGCCTTATTAACCGCATTCTGCTCTGCATGCCTTATTAACCGCATTCTGCTCTGCATGCCTTATTAACCACATTCTGCTCTGCATGCTCCATCCCATGTCCCACAGAAAGTGCTAGCAGAAGGTTCCAAGAAGGCCGGGGCAACGATTCAAGTGGAACACTTTTTACGGCTAGAGGTTGGAGAAGGCATTGAAAGGTGCGATTGGGTTCTTACCTGTAGATCACCAATGAGTACGATTGTCTTATTGATTAGGATGATTATTTTTACCCTTATTATTGAGTAGTATAACTGGTTCTTAGCCTTTTACTCACTTCCATGCAAGTGGCTAATTATCCTTGCCTTTCTGCAATGGTGCCACGTGGCAGGGAGGCCAAGGACTTTGCATCCGAGGTGGCATCACAGGTGGCCTCGTCCTCGTGACAGCTAGACAGCAAAGGATGACAGCAAAGCATGACAGCAAGACAGCATGGCAGAATGGCAGCATGGCAGCACGACGGAAGAATGAAGCAGTCGTGGTGTCAGTGATGGGGATCTCCTCGTGCCACCTGTTACCATGATGACAGTATGGCACACATTACGGTACTTGCTAAACTGCTCGGCACAACACCAAGGCTCAAAATCCATGGGCAAAATGCCCTGATTAGTACCCTTTGGGCCGCACCTCATTTTAGAGGATACTACCGGTACCATGTTATTGAAATTTTATTCAGAATACGTTTGAAAGTGCATACACTGTTAGTAACTGTAGTGGTTACATGGAGCAACAACTGAACATGTTTCCAACACAGAGAAAGGGCGCGCTACACTGATGTTAAAAAAAGCCTTTTAAATGTGCTGTTGAAGAAATCACATGGGTTTCAAAAGCCGTCAATGGCGTTTTAAAACTTCTACCGGTATGAATGGCACAATCGGTTTTTGGTAGTTTTGACGATTCTGGTCTTACACAGCTTTTTGAACAGAGATGTTCCCCGCTCTAAGTTGTAAGATTTGCTACGCAGCATTTGATACTACACTTGTTTTAATAATTATAGCTAGCCATGTACTTTGAGGGGTACATTCCCTTGCGCCACAACTGTACTCCTGCGGCATGCAAAATAGTCACTTTTCACCTCCCCTTTTATCGCACTCTCTATAAGAGAGTAGTACGATAAAGTGGACGACCGCATCCTCTATACGAGGCTAATGCGAAGAAGACAGTCATATTTCCGAGAGTGCTGCAATAACCTTTCCGAATTCCAGCACCGGTACATATATACCAACGCACCTCACATCTGACTCAAGCATCCCCTTCTATTCAGCCTTCTTGGGTACCTCATCCAGGAAAGGGTAGTCGATGTACCCCTTGACCTGATCCCCACTGAAGAAGGTGCTGCGGTCGTACGGGTTGAGGGGCGCATTGAGCTCAAAGCGCCTTGGCAGGTCTGGGTTGGCGAGGAAAAGGCGGCCGTACGTGATCAGATCCGCCAATCCGTTTTCAATAGCTTCCATGCCGTTTTCACGCTGGTAGTTGGGACAATAGTGGAGGGTTGGAGAGGAAGGGAAAAGAGAGCAGTGAGACGATGGGGTGGAAGATTTTGTGTGCAAGCGTGATCAAGGGAGCATCGGTACTGGCAGGGCATAGACGACGCAGATCGAAAGATGTACGATAATATTGTGAGTAACAAACAATATGTGTTGTTTGCATTGCTGTACACTACTCGATACCAAGCACCAGGGTACCTCACAACCAGCAGAAGCAGCAGCAGTGATGGCGATGTTGTATGCATCGCAGTACATGATAGAAGAGAGATGGGAGAGGCATCATCCTGTCCGCCATCTCCAGCGAGCAGCAAAAGGGAACATCCTGTAGTCTCAGGTGTCTCTCATGACAAGGCAGATGGGTCACACGAGCATACTTTCAAGGGCCACACAGGTCACACGGGCCACAGGAGCATACCTTGTAGCCGCCAGCAGCAATGAAGGGCCCCTTGAACGCCTTGCGGAATGGCTCCAGAGTCTGCAGATAGCGGAAGAGGAGGGAAGCAGGGGCAATGGAATGCGAATTCAAAGCCGCAACAATGACAGGATCGAAAGAGAAGGACAAAGAGAAGAACGCGATGAAACTCGCAAGCCCTCGAGCTCTTTTCCGGTAGATACCAACCAGGCAGCTGTCAAGCCCTCCTCTTTCCCTCCACACACCTCTGTCACAAGCAGACAGTACTCACCGCACTGCCTGCAAACCACTCAACTCCTTCAAAACCCAGCACCACCTACACGCCGCTCACCTCCTTTGCATCTTCCAAGTCAGCATTCCCCTGCGCGCGCGCCTCAATGAAGTGCACGTACGCCAGGCCCAGGCTGTTGAGGGCCTCCACCAGCCCCAGATACGTGCCCACGGGGTCCGAGTCGGAAGCATCCAGGAAGGAGCTGTACGGCGACAGCCGCACGCCCACCTTGCTGGCGCCCACCTCGTCCGCCACTGCCTTGATCACCTGGTGGGCGGGCAATGGGGGGCAGCGTGGTGGGGAGGGGAGGGACAAGTCAGCTCAACAACAACCTCGTCCGCCACTGCCTTGATCACCTGGTGGGCGGGCAATGGGGGGCAGCGTGGTGGGGAGGGGAGGGACAAGTCAGCTCAACAACAACCTCGTCCGCCACTGCCTTGATCACCTGGTGGGCGGGCAATGGGGGGCAGCGTGGTGGGGAGGGGAGGGACAAGTCAGCTCAACAACAACCTCGTCCGCCACTGCCTTGATCATCTGCAGGGGGGCCATGGGGGGAGGCCAGGGTAGGAAATGGGCGGAGGAGATGGGGGAGGAAGGAGGGGGGATGGGGCTTTTGAATTGACTCCAAAGTCTCCTTGCTGCCGAACACCTCGTCCACCACTGCCTTAAATCACCATGTGTGGGGGGAGGGGGCGGGGAAGGGATGCGGGGAGGAACAAGGGGATGCGATGGGGGGAGATGGGTGGAGGAAGGCGGGAGGAGGATATGGGTTGCATATGGGGAAGGAGGGAGGAAGGGGTCACGGGCAGGTGGGCGTGGGAGAAGAGTGGAGATAGGAGGAGATTCAGAAACCTCTTCCGCTGCCGGGGTGTGGAAGCAGGGGCTGGGGAGGAAGGAGGGAGTAGGAACGGGGCGACGGAACAAAAGGGGAAGGAGGAGGCGGGCGGGAAGGAAGGGGGGAAAAGGAGAAGGGGTGGGAAAGGAGCCTGATTTTAACATTCCAATAAGGCTCCACCCTAATCATTAACAGAGTAGTCCCAAGGAACCAAGCACCCAGTCATCCCCAGTGCTAGAGGCTGTAAACTAACACCACAGTCGCCCCCCTTAGAGTCACAACAGCCTGACCCACCTGCAGGGCGCAACAGCTGGACCCACCTGCAGGGCGCAACAGCTGGACCCACCTGCAGGGCGCAACAGCTGGACCCACCTGCAGGGCGCAACAGCTGGACCCACCTGCAGGGCGCAACAGCTGGACCCACCTGCAGGGCGCAACAGCTGGACCCACCTGCAGGGCGCAACAGCTGGACCCACCTGCAGGGCGCAACAGCTGGACCCACCTGCAGGGGGAAGCGAAGCCTGTTCTCCAAGGAGCCGCCAAACTCGTCCTCGCGCTTGTTGATGCCGTCCTGGCAGTGGGGAAGGGGGGAGGAACCAAGGGGGGAGGGGGAGAAAAGGTGTGGGGGTTATGGGGGTAGAGTGGGGTTGGGGTTGTTGAACGAGCGGGGATATTGAGGGAGCCGCCAAACTCGTCCTCACGCTTGTTGATGCCGTCCTGGCGAGGGGGACGGGGGAGACGGAAGCGGGAGAATGGGAGAAGGGTGACGGTGACGAAGGGTTGTTGAGGGAACGGGAATAATGAGGTACGGCGCGCTGTATCCAAACTTGACCTCGTGCTCGTTGTTGCATGATGTGGTGCATAAATCTGGAGAAAGGAGCGAATCCGATCAAACCCAAGCAGCTTATGCCATGAAGTGCATTGAACTGTCCTTATTCTACCATACTCATGCTAACTGTAATTACCAAGACCAACTCACATGTACGACCCAAATCTAACCCGAGGGTTACCTAGGGGACACCTATGGGTCAGGTACATTTTGGCTCGTCGGACGAGCCGCGGTCGTCTCACCTTGATGATCCAGGCAGGTAACCATTGACTGCGATAAGCCGAAATGTTACGGATTCGCACGAATCGCCGCCATATCGCCCACTCCCCAAGATCATCTCACCTTGATGAATTGCTCCAGCAGGTACCCATTCGCGCCGTGTACCTCCACGCCGTCGAACCCCGCGTCGATCGCGTTACGCGCCGCCACTCGGAACTGCTCCACCACCTGGAGGAACCACCCGTGGCGGACATTTCGACGATGGAAAAAGGTGAACAATGGAATACGATGATTGGGGGGGGGGGGGGGGGGGGAGAGAGGAAATGAACAACGGATATGGGATCACGGAACTGAGATGCCTGAGATTTTGCTGGAAGAGCACGGAGCATGGAAGTACATGAAATGGGAAACGCAGCCGCCCGGTACTACTGCTCGATAGCCTGGAGTCACCGCGCTGGGAATTGCGATGATGGGAAGGTGAACAACGGAGATGGTTCAAAAGGAATGCGTGCGGAGAAACTCTGGCGCGCAGCCGCGCAATACTGCGTGCGCCCTCGCGGTGCTGCCCAGCCCACGCGGTGCTTCTAGCTTGCTCGGTCGCGCGGCACTTGTCGATCGCGCGGTACCGCTCGGTCGCCTGGATTCGCCAGAGTAAAGCGGCGCGACTCGCTCGGAGCAGGACCGGCGATATAGCGGAAATTGATAGGGCCATGCGATGCGTTCACGTCATGCAGCGAGCACCACTGCGGTGCCTCGCTTGCCGCTTGAGTCCCGCCCGAAAAGGATTCAACAACGTTTAAGGTTTAGGACGTCGTGTCCGTCCCCGTTCCTCCGATTGCCTGTCCGGCTCCGTACCTTCTTCATCTCTTCCGCGGTCATGGCCCTGGGCGTGGGATAGTCGGCTGGGCCAGTGCTGATGTACACTTTGATCTCCTCGCTAATGATAGGAATGGCGGACGGAGCCATCGGCGCGGCGCCATCAGGCTGGTACTCTGCTCGGCGCGCAGTGGGGGGGTTGAAGGGGTAGGATAATGACGAGGAGCAGAGGAGGGGCGACGAGGAACGACAGTTGGTGATGGAGAACGATCGACGTGAAAAGAAAGGGAATTACCAGGTCGATACGTGGCGCGATAGTATGATCGAAACGGCGAGGGGACGAAACGAGGAAAACGAAAGATGAGGAGATGAGCAAACAATGTTCCCGCTAATGTGGGGGATTTTACGTGTGAAACGCGAGGAAATTGACTTGAAAATTGCCAGCTCGAAGTGAATCGTAGTCCAGGCGTACCATTGACGACAACCCCCAGGCTCCGCCATGATGATTTCCCACATCGGTCAAGCAACAATGCTGGAGGCGCCCCAACGTGTCGTCATCATTGCCAATGCGATCGGTCGACGTCGTCGAAGAAAGGAGCAGAAGTGGGATTCACCTTGGTGCGACGCGCGGCCGACGTGCCACAGCTGGCAGTAGAACCGCGCGCCCTTGTCGTGCACCGCCTTGATCACCGGCTTCCACGCCGCGATCTGCGCTTCCGTGTAGATCCCCGGGGTGTCGGGGTACCCGTGCGCCTCGGGCGAAATACACGTGCCTTCGGTGAGCATAAGCCCGCCCTTGTGCGCGCGCTGCGAGTAGTAAGTCGCGGCGTTCGGCTGCGGGATGGTCCCGACGGCACGATCGCGCGTGAGCGGCGCGTAGACGATGCGCATTGAGAGCTCCGTGCCGTCCGGGAGAGTGAACGGCGTGAGGAGCGGATTGGGCGTGGCCGAGGCCATGATGACTCGCGCAAACGTGGAGGACCGCGACGGACAGAGCAGAGGTGTAGAGACTTTTGTCGCTCGGAGGAGCTTAGCAGGCGCAAAGAGGGTTGCAATGCGAAGCATAATATTTGCTGACTGAGATGGCGTCAGCAGGAGTAAGATGGTGTTCCTGAGATGGGCGAACTTCCGAACTTCCCCCTAGCAACAGTGCACAGAACACGTGCCTAAGGCATGGCAGCAACGGGGGGAGTGAATCTGGACGTCGCATGAGTTGGGCGGTGAGGGTCGTGCGATTTTTGCGCATGGCAACTTCCCCTGACGCCCAACGTCAGAACCACTGACGGTTTTGACTGTCACAGGACCGAGTCGTGACTGGGTTTGGCACGTTCAGAAAGGTCAAAGAATACCGTGACAAATGGAAAAGGAAAAACAGGCGCCAATCCAACAGCAGAAAGCAATTTCGTTTCACGGTCACCACACAGCACATGCTCTACAACCTACATAACCAACCTACCCAGCACGCTCGGAATCGCCCCCAGACTGTTTTCATCGGGTTATGGGAGATTGTGGCCGTTTGGAATTGGCGCATGAACGTTGAATACGGAAGCATGTGATTGGTTGGAAGTTTTCTCAATTGTTTTTCGCACAATGAGACTGACATCGCATGGCACGTGTGGTGGTGTGCAAAATACCCAGGACTGCCACGCTGGACCAATAGTGCAGCACTCCGAAGTTCTCCCATCTCAGGAACGCCATCTAAGTACGCGTACACGAGTGCGCCTCAGGTCGAGATCGTTCAGGAGACCTGGACGTGCCAATCACTGCAAACCGCGACGCGCCATGCATGTCTGACTGTGGGGTGGGCGCGTTTGGTTCGGTGTTGGGTGGTGTGGCGGGGTTTGGTTTGTGACAGGCAGGGTGGTTTAGGGCGCTTCACCTGAGGGGCGGAAGGCCAAAATCCGAACCGACGTATCAGTTTGACTGTACGAACAGTATCCCAAATGAGTTCTAACACAAATACGTACAATGAGCGAATGTGACACAGGCCATCACAGGTGACGCCATCGCTATTCGCACACGCGGTCTGTTCGAACACAGCGACGTCGCCCACAAAAGAGCGACGTCGCCAAACATTGGGTCCCTCGCTTGTGTGTTTCCTCGCTTGGGTCGCAAACGTTCATGGGCGACCCGGGAGACTGTGGACCAATCATATCAGTCGTTTGTGCGGAATTGTGTGTCACCTATCCCAACCTGTTCGAACAAACGTGTTCGAACGTGCGGGATGATGAAAATCGTGCTTGAGGTGACAGCTCTGTTCAAATTGGCGAAATTGTGCTTCGCGACGTCACGATCACCACCACGAATATAGGCGAAATGAGTAACAAGTCGCCTGTTCGAACGAGTGTGTTGTTCGAACCGACAGGTGAAGCGCCCTTAGTTGGTCTTGTAGACCACGGTGTGGCCAAGCGAGGGACTGATCGAGATGCTTCCATTCTCGACAAGCAGCTTCGGGGAAACGCAATTGACGGGTCTCTTTTTCGGAGGAGCTGCGTGGCATTTCGCATTTCGTGGGGGTTGCGGCACAATTTTTTGTGACGTCAGCGAAAACATCACGAGAATTTAGTTGAATTCTCAGGTCGCCCCATATTCGCCAGAGTTTGGATGCTATGGCGTTCACGCATATATCTTCACCTCTAGCTGTGAATGTGTGAATGTGTTCTCATATATTTCCAACAAACTCTTGAGGGGCTTGGAGTTTGGGGATATAATGCAGGCTCAACCTAAGATGATGTTTTTGATAAAAAGAAAAAAAACACAGTACCAGTGCGTAAATTTGGCCTGGATCGCCTTTGCTTCTGCCCACATTTTCAGACTTCAAGAGTGCGACAAATACTACGCGTCACTGCGCCGTTTCTTCTTGCTGCCGAGGTGGCGAATAAACGTCCGCACGCTATCATGTGCATCGACACGAACAACAAACTTTCTCTTCTTGCTGTCTTTCCACAGCAACGCACCAATCTGCTGCGCATGCTTAACGATGGCTTCAAACACTTCCTGCAGAAAATCTCGAGGGCACAGATCAGAAACGAGTGTAAGCGCATGTTCAGTTGGTTCAGGCGAGGGGAAGCTGAATCACATGAGAAGGATGGAGTTGCCTGACGTTGAGAGATTATAAACCGATAGGTGTACACATTTGGAAACATGTGTGCAGGTGGATATGCGAACCATTTATCCATACTCCGCCATGTGTCATGCTAATAGAACTCACCTGGGTGAGAAATGCCAGAGCCTGAGACAACACTGGCAATAGCTCACATGGGTGGGGCGCGGCCATGGTTGTTGGAACTACCTGGGCAGGCTCACTTTGTTGGAATCACCTGGGCGGGCTCACCTTGTTGAAATCACCTGAATGGGCTCACATTGTTGAAATCACCTGGAGAATTACCTGGGTGGGGAACAGCCATACCTCATCGTGTTTGAATCACCTGGAGAATCACCTGGGTGGGGAACAGCCATACCTCATCTTGTTGGAATCACCTGGAGAATTACCTGGGTGGGGAGCAGCCATACCTCACCTTGTTGGAATCACGTGGGTGGGGAGCGGCCATACCTCACCTTGTTGGAATCACCTGGGAGGGGAGCAGCTATACCTCATCTTGTTGGAATCACCTGGGAAATCACCTGGGGAATCACCTGAGAAATCACCTGGGGAATCACCTGGGGAATCACCTGGGTGGGGAAGTCGTCGTAGAGCACGGCAGCAGTGGTGGCCACTCTGTTGCGATCAAACTCCCACAGACGGATCTGATACACACACAGGGCAGCGGAGCAGCAGAGGAACAATGGGACACGAAGTGATACGAACGAGAAGCAGAGTAGTAAGGGCAATGGGCAGCTGAATGGGTTTTACCCGAGTAGGGTTGAAAATAAGAAAAAATGGAAAAAAATGCTCATAATGAGATGTTATCCGATGCAAAAAGGAGTACTGTATGGTATTTGATGATATCAGATGGTATATGGCAGTGTAAGATGGTATGTGATAGTGTGAAATAGTCCTCATCGACGTCAGATGGTGTGAGTTGTTTCGACATGGTCCGAGATGGTATGATACACCACACACGCACGCATCCCACGCTACACACAAGTCGTACACCGCACATACACAAAGAACACAACACTGAACAGCGCACAGCGCAGCAGCACACAGTGGCACACATGGCCCCAGCGCACAGCACCTGGTCCACCACTGTCTCGGGCACCACAGGGGGCTTCGTGGCCACCAGGGGATGGGCGTTCTTCCGCATGTACTGCACTATCTGGTGGCGCCGTGGAAGGGGGGGGGGGGGAGGGGGAGGAACAATATGGCTTATATGAGCGTTCTTCCGCATGTACTGCACTATCTGGTGGCGCCGTGGAAGGGGGGGGGGGGGAGGGGGAGGAACAATATGGCTTATATGAGCGTTCTTCCGCATGTACTGCACTATCTGGTGGCGCCGTGGAAGGGGGGGGGGGGGAGGGGGAGGAACAATATGGCTTATATGAGCGTTCTTCCGCATATACTGCACTATCTGGTGGCGCCGTGGAAGGGGGGGGGGGGGGGGAGGGGGAGGAACAATATGGCTTATATGAGCGTTCTTCCGCATGTACTGCACTATCTGGTGGCTTGAAGGGGAGGGGAGAGGTGGGGGGGGGGAGGGAGGGGAGGGATAGGGGCTTAGATGAGAGTTCGTCCGTACCTACTGCACTATCTGGTGGTGGTTGCGGGGAGGGGAGGGGAGAAGGAGGCAAAGGGGAGAGGAGGGATAAGAGCTTAGATGAGCTTTCCTCCGCATGTACTGCAGTGCAGTATCTGGCGGTTTCAGAGGAGAGGACGAAGGGGGGAGAGGAAGTGGTGGAAGAGCATTCAGGGGCACTTATTCTGTGGGGGCACTTATTCTGTGGGGGCACTTATTCTGTGGGGGCACTTATTCTGTGGGGGCACTTATTCTGTGGGGGCCCTTATTCTGTGGGGGCCCTTATTCTGTGGGGGCACTGCACCTGCACTGCACTATCTGGTGGCTGGGGGAGGGGGGTGAAGAGGGGGAAATGGGAAGGGGAGGGATAGGAGCTTAGATCCGCGTTCACTCGCACGTACTGCACTAACTGACCGTTTGAGGTATCAGAACATTGCAGGGGAATTTTGTGCAAACACTGTACCATCTGGTGTTTTGGGGGAGAGAAGGGGGAGGAGGGGGGGTAAGGTAAGGGCTTTGACTGCGCATTCTTGTGCACCGCTGTGGATTTTTCATCCCCTATTTATCTACCCTCATCCATCCAAATATCCACAATTTGGATGGATCTTCCTGAGCTTTTATCTTCATTCCCATCCCTCCGATCTTTCTTGAAACTCTGTACCAAGGCAGCTGTGTTCCTAGTGAATCAATATTTTCTTGGAACTCTTTCCATTATCTTTCACTGATTGCGAACATCCCACCACGTCTGCTGAACCTACCTGAGGACCCACCTGCCCTACTGAAACTACCTGAGGACCCACCTGCCCTACTGAAACCACCTGAGGACCCACCTGCCCTACTGAAACCACCTGAGGACCCACCTGCCCTACTGAAACCACCTGAGGACCCACCTGCCCTACTGAAACCACCTGAGGACCCACCTGCCCTACTGAAACCACCTGAGGACCCACCTGCCCTACTGAAACCACCTGAGGACCCACCTGCCGTACTGAAACCACCTGAGGACCCACCTGCCCTGCTGAAACCACCTGAGGACCCACCTGCCCTGCTCAAACCACCTGGAGACCCCACCTGCTCTGCAACAATGCCGAGAGCAAGTGCGTTGTTGACGGTCTCTCGGTTCATGATCCCCACCACTAGGTTGGGCAGGCGGTACTCCAACCTGTGTGAGGGGCGAGGGGCAGAGGGAGAGACAGGAGAGGCAGAGAGGGTCGTCTCAGACAGAATTCACCTGGGTGCATCAACCCGACCACCAGATGAGGCAGCTGACACTCCAGCCTGGGTAGAGTGAGGGGCAGTGGCGGAATGAAAAGCATGGAGGTAGAGGAGGGAGAGAGCGGCAGGGAGGCAGGGAGGCAAGGAGGCAGAGGAATAATGCAAAGTGGCGTTTGGTATTGGTGGGCAGCAAAAGCAACGATTCTGATTTGACTCAATCTAGGAAGTCATTCACTCTGATCCACCCCATACTTTCAATTCAATCAATGTACTTTCATGACGCTCATCACATAAAGGGTGAACAATGGTCGGCTCTCATCACAGCTTACAGAATCAGGATACAGAATTCATGTATTCGTGTGAATGAATGTTTGCATGTAGCACATGAAGAGTGAGAAGCGAATGCCCCCAGCAGCTTCGACCTCCACCAGATCCCACTGCATACTAGATGTGTACCTACGGTCTGTCGGCTGGGACTGCATGCATGCGTGTGTTGTGACGGACATACCTTTATTGCCTTATTCATGATTCACGATTCATCAACACTGAAGCGCCACCTCGATTGCTTCTCTCTCTCCTCATGGTCCCTCAATGATCATGCACGCATGTGAGGTACGTCTCTCCTCTCCTCATCATCCTGAGGGGCGACACGCGCCTCATGAAGAGCAGCGGGGCAGGACGTACCTCAGGATCCCTGCCTGCAGCTTGGACTGTGTGTGTGTACGTGTGCACTCGGAACAGCAGCAGGGGACTTACCACAGGAACACTGCGTTACCACCTACCAACTCCACCGATTCTCCCTTCGTGAGCTGTCAATGGTCTAGGGAGGGTTATCTCATGAAGATTGAAAAAGCTTCTGCCTGCACTTTGAAGTGCGTGAATGTGTTCACTCTGAACAGCAGAGGGACTTACCTCCCAAACTGTGTGTACCCACCAACTCCACTGATCATGTCCTCATGATCCCTTAATAATGTATGGACGCACCTCATAAAGAGTGATAGAATCTCCGCCTGCAGCTTGGACTGCGTGTACGCATAAACTCTGAAGTTGGTCTCCACCACTATGAAGCCCTGCCATGCTAGGGGGAGGGCAGGGTGCCACGCACATACAGGAAGGAGCGTGTGAGTGGGTGAGACCAAGAGAGTGTGCTTTGACCATTAAGAAGCGCCATGTGCTAAGAGGGCATGCAGTGAGTGGGTGAGCGAACGAGTGGGGTACAGGGAGGTAGAAAGGAGGGAAAACAGTATAGCTCGTGGTTATAGCACAAGCCTCAAGGTGTGAGCACCACTATGCTATGCTGTAATGCAAGGTAGCCCTCATTCATTCACCTCTGAATCTGACGTGGCAGACTCTGATAGGCTGGAGGAGAGTGCAGCTGCAAGGTGCGTTGGGATGAACCACTGGTCGTGCCTCCCCTGCGATGCGGGTGAGGGGATGGTGCGGGGTGATGTGGGGTGGTGTGGAGCGATGTGGTGCGGTGTGAGGGGTATGGATGATGCAACGAAGAGGTTAACAAACTGTGGCATGCGAGGATGGCCCACCTTCTTGGCTTAAGCATGCGCTGCACATGCAGCATGCGCTGCACATACAGCATGCGCTGCACATACAGCATGCGCTGCACATACAGCATGCGCTGCACATACAGCATGCACTGCACATACAGCATGCGGTGCACATACAGCATGCGCTGCACATACAGCATGCGCTGCACATACAGCATGCGCTGCACATACAGCATGCGCTGCACATACAGCATGCGCTGCACATACAGCATGCGCTGCACATACAGCATGCGGTGCACATACAGCATGCGCTGCACATACAGCATGCACTGCACATACATAGTACAGGTGAAGTGCAGACGAGAGCGCACCTTTTGCGTGAGCACGAAGCCCAGCTGGGCTATTTCCTCCACCACCTCCTGCTGCATGCTCGTCAGCGTTGTCATGCTGTATGGCTGCTCCGGGCGTGGGCGCATGGGGCATATGGGGGCATGGAGATCGGGGGGGTGCGTGCATGGGTGCACGGATGCATGGATGCATGGATGCATGCATGGGTGCATGATGGGTGCATGATGGGTGCATGATGGGTGCATGACGGACACACATCCATGTGTATCACAAGAGAGGGTAGGGGAAGGAAGGAGGGGGGATGGGGGGAGCGGAGAATGAGGGAGGGGGCAAAGCAGTGACGTTTGGCAATGCAACATTGTGCCACTACGCACCCATCTCAATGAATTTTGCCAGCGTTGTGGTGACATATAGATGGCTCTTTGATCAACTGTAGCAGTTGTAACAATAATATGTGCTGTTACAACTGTACCGTTCAGTATGGTGCCTATGATGTAACCATACCGTGCCAAAATTGTAACTGTGCCATGCCAATGTTGCAACCGTACTGGGCCAATGTTGTAACCAGACCATGCCAATGCTGTAACCGCACCACGCTTATGTTGTAGCCGTACCGTACCATGCCTATGTTGTAACCGTACCATGCCTATGTTGTAACCGTACCATGCCTATGTTGTAACCATACCATGCCTATGTTGTAACCGTACCATGCCTATCTAGTGATCGTACCATGCCTATGTTGTAACTGTGCATGCCTAACTCGTATTGTAACCGTAGTAACCGCACCGTTCCAAGGTTGTTGTAACCATACCACTCCGATGTTGGAACTTCACCGTTCCAATCTTGTAACCCTACCAATCTTGTAACCATACCGTGCCAATCGTGTAACTGTACCATTCTTGTAATCATATCGTTCCAATCTTGTAACCGTACCATGCCAATGGTGTAACTATACAATTCTAATCTTGTAACCATACCCTTCCAATCTTGCAACCGTACCATTCCAATCTTGCAACCGTACCGTGTAACCACACCGTTCCAATCTTGCAACTGTACTGTTCCAATCCTGTAACCGTACCGTTCCAATCTTGTAACCGTACCGTTCCAATCCTGTAAACGTACCGTTCCAATCCTGTAACCCTACCGTTCCAATCCTGTAACCCTACCGTTCCAATCCTGTAACCCTACCGTTCTGATCTTGCAACCGTACAGTTCCAATCCTGTAACCATACCGTTCCAATCTTGTAACCGTACAGTTCCAATCCTGAAACCGTACCGTTCCAATCTTGTAACCGTACAGTTCCAATCCTGTAACCGTACCGATCCAATCTTGTGACCATACAGTTCCAATCCTGTAACTGTACCGTTCCAACCTTGTAACCGTACCGTTCCAATCTTGTAACCGTACCTAGGGATGAGCAAAGGGCGAACACGAACATGTTCGTCTTCGCCCCTTGTCGAACACCCTCTTTTGCCGAACCAAACACTGTTCGGTTCGGCGAACAGTTTAGGAAAAAACAGGTGTTCGCTGTTTGCCTGTGGAGGCGTGTTCGGGCGAACCTCGAACACGTTCGTGTTCGCCACGGGGCGTTCTGCAGCAGCGCCACGAACACGAACGTGTTCGGGCGAACATCGAACACGTTCGGGCGAACGATTTAAGCTGAAAAACAAAACCTGTTCGGTTCGCCTAACAGGTGTTCGCCACCTTGCTCATCCCTAACCGTACCTTTCCAATCCTGTAACTGTACCGTTCCAATCTTGTAACCGTACATTTCCAATCCTGTAACCGTACCGTTCCAATCTTGTAACGGTACCGTTCAAATCTTGTAACCATACAGTTCCAATCCTGTAACTGTACCGTTCCAATCTTGTAACCATACCGTTCCAATCTTGTAACAGTACCTTTCCAATCCTGTAACCGTACCGTTCCAATCTTGTAACCGTACCGTTCCAATGTTGTGGAATCCGAGCTCCAGGAGAAATGCGATCACATCCCCACTGTCATGCCCCCTGTCCTGGCATGTGGGGGGAGAAGGCGGGAAAAGAAGAAAGGTGGGGGAAGACGACAAAAGGAGAAAGGTGGGGGAAGACGACAAAAGGAGAAAGGTGGGGGAAGACGACAAAAGGAGAAAGGTGGGGGAAGACGACAAAAGGAAGCGGGCGACGTAACAAGGGGAACGGGGGGAAAACGAATCAGAGGAAGGGAGGGATGACTGGAGAAGGACGGGAGAATCATGAGCAAAGAAGCCACGTCATTCTTCAATACTGAGCGTCAAATGTCACCCATGGGCCATAGCAGTCATCCATAGCGGGCAATGCAAGCTCATCCAAGCATCCCCACATTCCACTTGGTGGGCAATGAAGGATATGAATCTGATTCTGTACAGCAAGGGGGGATGCTTGGACGAGTTACAGCCAGCCGACCGACGGGAGAGAGAGACTTGCTGTGGTCCATTAGCCATTGGCTGACTCAACTAGCTTTGTTTGTCCAGCTAGTTGACTCATGTTGACTCAGTTGATTCACGTTGACTCGTGTTGACTCAGTGAACTGACCTGGGCCGACTCAATGTAGCTCGAGACTATCGCCCACAGCTGCTCGTTCCGGTCCTTGAGCTGCCCGTGCCCGCACCCCGTGACCCGTGCCCCGTGCCCCGCACCCCGTGACCCGTGCCCCGTGCCCCGTGCCCCGTGCCCCGTTCCCCGTGCCCCGTGCCCCGTGCCCCGTGCCCCGTGCCCCGTGACCCGTGCCCCGTGCCCCGTGACCCGTGCCCCGTGCCCCGTGCCCCGTGCCCCGTGCCCCGTGCCCCGTGCCCCGTGCCCCGTGCCCCATGCCCCGTGCCCCGTGCCATGCAACACAAACACACACAGAAGGAAAAAGTAGCATTTGCTTTGCACACGGAGTCGTAGGATAAATAAGAAAGAAACTAGATATGAAGAGGTAGCAACGGCACGCTTGAGGAAAGGAACAGGAGGAAGCACGAGGCGTGGTGAGAGAAGGCTCTGCGGTCCGAGAAGGCTTGAGGAAAGGAACAGGAGAAGGCTCTGGTAAAGTAAACAGCGAATCGCTGGGCGAGAGCAACAACGCAAAAAAAATGCTCCAAGTTCGTTTAGGAAGTGACGAGAAGAAAGCGCACAAGGAAGGGGAAGGCGGAGGTTGATACGACGGAGAGAGACGACCCCCTGAGAAACAATGGGTCCGAGGGGCACGTGGTGGGGGCGAAGGGGACCAACCACAGAAATAGGAGCGAGCAACAGGGAGGATGCGGGGGTAGGGAGCAACAAGACAGATGAGGGGGTAGGGAGTGGTATTGGGTCCAAAAAACGTTTTTGGACCCCACTTATCGCAGTGTTGCGCGTATACGTAAAGATATGCCTATGTACGCGTAAATACGATTAGCATATATTCGGGCAGGAAAAACAAAATTGCCGACCAGAGCCAGTGACTCCAAGAGTGGGACAAGAGGCAGTGAGATAAAAAAAGTGGCGATGCTGTGAGCGGGAGATGGGGTGAAAGCGCGGACGGGTCGAAAAAACTGGATAAAAGAAATCCGTCACCAAAACTATGTGGGTCATGGTTAAACTATTGCTGTGACACCCACCCTATGGTTGTGCAAGAAGAAACCGATTTTACAGCCGAAAACAGGTAGCACAGTTGTCGGGCAGCCCAAGCGAATTCTTGAACGTAAACAAATTTCAGATCCACAGAAGTAATGTACAACGTGCGTAAACGTACGCGTAACATCCAACCAGGGAATTTTGAGTCTGAGGTGGTGCGGAGCGGTTCTGGGTGCCTCAGCGGCGGCGGTGGCAGCAACAGAAGCAGAGCCACTTATGAGTGCATACCGAGGCTCGCTCATATGTGCAGTGCACTCGTGTAATTACAGCAGCAGCAGCACCCTGTCCCCCTCCTCCCTGTGCTACTGGCTTTGGTGGTGTTGCCGAGCTGAATAGGTGAAATGAACTCACGACGAAAGGGTGAGGAGGCCAGCTTGTATGCGCACAGCACACAAGCATGATGACAGCTTGTATGCGCACAGCACACAAGCATGATGACAGCTTGTATGCGCACAGCACACAAGCATGATGACAGCTTGTATGCGCACAGCACACAAGCATGATGACAGCTTGTATGCGCACAGCACACAAGCATGATGACAGCTTGTATGCGCACAGCACACAAGCATGATGACAGCTTGTATGCGCACAGCACACAAGCATGATGACAGCTTGTATGCGCACAGCACACAAGCATGATGACAGCTTGTATGCGCACAGCACACAAGCATGATGACAGCTTGTATGCGCACAGCACACAAGCATGATGACAGCTTGTATGCGCACAGCACACAAGCATGATGACAGCTTGTATGCGCACAGCACACAAGCATGATGACAGCTTGTATGCGCACAGCACACAAGCATGATGACAGCTTGTATGCGCACAGCACACAAGCATGATGACAGCTTGTATGCGCACAGCACACAAGCATGATGACAGCTTGTATGCGCACAGCACACAAGCATGATAACAGCTTGTATGCGCACAGCACACAAGCATGATGACAGCTTGTATGCGCACAGCACACAAGCATGATGACAGTTTGTATGCGCACAGCACACAAGCATGATGACAGCTTGTATGCGCACAGCACACAAGCATGATGACAGCTTGTATGCGCACAGCACACAAGCATGATGACAGCTTGTATGCGCACAGCACACAAGCATGATGACAGCTTGTATGCGCACAGCACACAAGCATGATGACAGCTTGTATGCGCACAGCACACAAGCATGATGACAGCTTGTATGCGCACAGCACACAAGCATGATGACAGCTTGTATGCGCACAGCACACAAGCATGATGACAGCTTGTATGCGCACAGCACACAAGCATGATGACAGCTTGTATGCGCACAGCACACAAGCATGATGACAGCTTGTATGCGCACAGCACACAAGCATGATGACAGCTTGTATGCGCACAGCACACAAGCATGATGACAGCTTGTATGCGCACAGCACACAAGCATGATAACAGCTTGTATGCGCACAGCACACAAGCATGATGACAGCTTGTATGCGCACAGCACACAAGCATGATGACAGTTTGTATGCGCACAGCACACAAGCATGATGACAGCTTGTATGCGCACAGCACACAAGCATGATGACAGCTTGTATGCGCACAGCACACAAGCATGATGACAGCTTGTATGCGCACAGCACACAAGCATGATGACAGCTTGTATGCGCACAGCACACAAGCATGATGACAGCTTGTATGCGCACAGCACACAAGCAAGATGACAGCGGCAGCACTCTGTCCCCCTCCCCTGCCTTGTGCTGCTGGTACCGGGCAGCTCGGTCAATAAATCAGGAACACTCACGAGTGGGTGAGGAGGGCTGCTCGTACAAGCACAAGTCTGATGACAGCAGCAGCACCCAATCCCCACCTCTGCCTGCCCTGTGCTGCTGGCTCTGGTACTCACGAGTGGGTGAGCAGGCCCGCTCGTACGAGCACTCGTGTGATGACAGCAGCACCGTGACCCCCAGCTATGGATGGCGGCGATATGAGATGCATGAGGACTGCCTGGGGTATGTGAGAGGCATGGGGATGAGAGGTGGGAGAATGAGGTCAGGTTAGGAGGTAGGGGAGGGAGGGAGGGAAGGGCAGCAGCAGCGCCATGCCCCCCAGCTATGGATGGCGGCGATATGAGATGCATGGGGACGGCCTGGAGGCGGAGGAGAGTGGTGGGAGAATGAGGTCAGGTGAGGCGGTAGGGGAGGGAGGGATGGAAGGGCAGCAGCACTGTGGCCCCAGCTATAGACGGCAGCGATACGAGATGCATGGGCACTGCCTGGGGTGAGAGATGGGAGGATGAGAGATGGGGCATGGGGTGGAAAGGATGAGAGATGGGGCATGGGGTGGAAAGGATGAGAGATGGGGCATGGGGTGGAAAGGATGAGAGATGGGGCATGGGGTGGAAAGGATGAGAGATGGGGCATGGGGTGGAAAGGATGAGAGATGGGGCATGGGGTGGAAAGGATGAGGGTGGGTGGAAGAACGAGGCCAAGGTAAGGAGGACGAAGGGGGGAGGAGGAATGGAAGCAAGGGGAGAGGGAAATTTGTTTGCTCCTCCAAGCGGGCATGCAGAACAAGTGAAAGAACTGCTTCCCTTCATTCTTCTTCCTCTTTTTGGCCAGTGGTGCATGCCTCACCTCCCAGTGGTGCATGCCTCACCTCCCAGTGGCTCGTGCCATGGGCTGCCAGCTCAGCAGCAGACGGCAGGCGGGTGGCCACAGAGGCCGGCACGCTGGGTCGAGATACAGGCGCTCTGAAGCAGTGAGAAGGCGAGGGGGGGGGAGAGAGCAGGGGGAGGGAGAGAGCAGGGGGAGGGAGAGAGCAGGGGGAGGAGGGGGTGTGAAGGAAGGGAAGGCCACAGACGGCAGGCGGGTGGCACTGAGGCAAGCATGCTGGGCCGGGACACGGGCGCACTGCAGTAGTGAGAAGGCGAGGGGAGAAGGGGAGATGAGGGTAGAGAAGGGGGGGCGAGGGAAGAGCAGAGATGCAGGCATGGTGGAGTGGGGCGAGACTTGGGGGAGGTGAGTGGGGCGAGACTTGGGGCACGTGAGTCAGTGAGAGAGCAGGGGGGGCTGTGCTGTGCGGTGGAGAACAGTTGCGTGCGTGTGGGTGGGGAATGGAGGGGAGTGGAAGGGATGGGGAGATGGGGGAGTAGAGGGGAAGCGGACCACGAACATGGGAAGCGGAACACGAACATGGGAAGCTTGAACAAGGCACAGGTGCAGTCAAGGGACATGAGAAGAGAAGGTGGTCGAGATGAGTGGTGGGTGGGATTTATCACTCTCACGCGCTTTAGCATGGAATGAAATTACTGCTCTTTGAAGGGATGGGAGAATGACATGGAAGGGTTGTGATGGGCGTGGGGGAAAGGAGAGGGAAGTGAGGTGTGAGTGGTGGGGTGGGGATGAGAGTGGGGAAGGCATGGACAAGTCGAGCCCCCACCCCACACACGTCACCCTCACCTCACGCGAGTGAGCACACACCATGCGCACCAATCCATGGTGACACCAATGACACGCATCCCGCTGCGTGACTAATAAGGGCTTGCTGGCACAGCAATCATCAACGAGTGACTAATAAGGGCTTGCTGGCACAGCAATCATCAACGAGTGACTAATAAGGGCTTGCTGGCACAGCAATCATCAACGAGTGACTCACCCTCATGTGAGCGCCTGCTGCACTCACCCTGATGTGAGCGCCTGCTGCACTCACCCTGATGTGAGCGCCTGCTGCACTCACCCTGATGTGAGCGCCTGCTGCACTCACCCTGATGTGAGCGCCTGCTGCACTCACCCTGATGTGAGCGCCTGCTGCAGCTGCTGCTGGAAGGTGGGGTTCAGGTGGAACGCTGCTGGTGCCGACGATGCTGCTGCTGCCAGCGACCCTGTTTCGCTGGACGCGAGATGAAAGAAGAGGGGGTGTTCGGGGGGGGATGCTAAAAAATGTTGATACCAATGATACTGATGATCCTGACGCTGATGCTGTCAGAGACCCTGTTTCGCTGCACGTGGGATGAGGGAGGGGGGGAGCGGGTGGGGGGGATGCTAAAAAACGTTGATACTGATGATCCTGATGCTGATGCTGTCAGAGACCCTGTTTCGCTGCACGTGGGATGGATGGCGGGAGCGGGGGGGCAGGTGACCTTTGAGTCGCGTGGAAAATGCTGATGCCAACGATCCTGATGCTGTTAGATTAGAATCCCTGTTCTGCTGCATGTGGGGTGGATGAAGGTTGGGCAAAGCACACCTGAGAGTGCATTTGAGAGCACACCTGAGAGTGCATTTGAGATCACACCTGAAAGTGCATTTGAGAGCACACTCGAGAGTTGCAGCCCTACCTGCATGCCAGCAGCAGGCGCAGCTGCTGCAGCCTGTCAAGGGCCGCCTTGTGCTTGCTGTGTGCCTCGGGCTTGGGCCAATCAGCCACGAGCGCGGCAGGCACAGGGTCGGTGAGAAAGAGCAGTCGCAGCACGTACTGCTTGGCCAGTGGAGGGAGGGACCTGCATGTGGGGTTAGTGTGGGGGGGGAGGGGTGGGAAAGCAGGGAGAAGGAATGTGGGAGGCACATGGTCCGTGAGAAAGAGCAGTCGCAGCACGTATTGCTTGGCTGGTGCGGGCAGGGACCTGGGGGGGATGAGGGGTGAGTGTGAGGCCAAGGTGGGGTTAGTGTGAAAGGAGGGGGGTTCCAGCAGGCACGGGGTGGGAGGACGAGCAGAGGCAGCACAGCATGTACTGCTTTGGCTGGTTGGAAAGGGCAGGGACCTGCGGATGGGAGGGTAAGAAGAAGGAGGGTGCACGGAAGGAGGAAGGGAAGGAAAAAATGGAGGAGGGAAAGGATGAGAAAGGGGGGAAAGGGATGGGGGGGGAGGGGAAGAAGAGGGGGGACGCTGGGGGAGTGGAGTAGGCAGAGGTCTGGTAGGCGCAGTGGCAGCATGTGCTGCTTGGCTAAGAGAGGGCGGGACCTGTGATGAGAGGGGGGAACCTGTGATGAGAGGGGGGGCGGACGGAGGTGGGGGCGGAAAAGACGAGGTGAAGGAAGGGGGAGGAGGGGAGAAAGGGAGGGAGGTGTGTGTGGGGGTGCTGGGGGTTGTTGGAAGTGCATTGGGGTAGAAATCGATGAGGAGGGGCAGACACAACACTCCCTGCTGGACAAGAGGAGGGAGTGACATGGATGCGAGGTTGGGGGAGGAAGGAAGGGAATGGGATGAATGAGGGAGAGGTAAGTGAGGCGTAAGCGCGGCAGGAGAGGGAGAGCTGCGGAAGGGGGAGCGGGGACAGAGGGTTGGCGAGAGAAGCGAGCAGCATGCGAGGGGGAAAAGAAGGGGGTGTGGTGCGGTGAGAATGGGGTGCGGGGAGAGTGGTGGGGTTGCAGTGGCGCATCGGAAAGCGTGGGTAGGGAAACCAACAGAGGAGCGAGTGCGGGGACGAGTGGGGAGAAGAGAAATGCGTGGGTGGGGGAACAAAGGGACCAAGGTCCTGGGGAAGAGATGCGGAAGAAGGGACCTCCGCTGCTGGGAGAGTCTGGGAAGGGAGGCCAATAAGGAGGGGACAGCGAAATGCGCGGGAAGGAGGAAAGGAGGAGCATGGAAACGGGTCCCCGTCACCTCGCGCCGTTGAATGCCACACCCTCATGATGAGTGTTTCGGAACCGCTGGGCAGCTGGACGGCAGTGGAACTCACGCTTAGTTAAAAGAAGCGTTTACCTGAGCACGGCTTGGCACGTGTAGAGGGAGGAGTATAGGCGGTCGAGCTGCGCGGCCGGCAGCGACGCGAGGTAATCCGCGAATAGACCAGCAGATTCGACCATCCTTAGATGGATGGGGAGGTGAGGGTTACGAGCAGGGGGAGCGAGGGCGAGGGATACGGCGCTGGCAGGGGAAGCGAGGGTGACGGGGAGGGGAAGCGAGGGCGACGGGGAGGGGAAGCGAGGGCGACGGGGAGGGGAAGCGAGGGCGACGGAGACGGGAAGCGAGGGCGACGGGGACGGGAAGCGAGGGCGACGGGGAGGGGAAGCGAGGGCGACGGGGAGGGGAAGCGAGGGCGACGGGGTGGGGAAGCGAGGGCGACGGGGTGGGGAAGCGAGGGCGACGGGGAGGGGAAGCGAGGGCGACGGGGAGGGGAAGCGAGGGCGGCGGGGAGGGGAAGCGAGGGCGGCGGGGAGGGGAGCGAGGGCGACGGGAGAAGGGAAGCGAGGGCGGCGAGGAGGGGAGCGAGGGCGACGGGGTGGGCACACGAAGGCGTGGAGCGAGTGACGAGCGAACGTGTGACGTGTGATTGACTATGACGCTGTAGTGAGTCACGGCAGGGAGTGGGCGACGCGAGCAGTGAGTGACACGGAGAACATCGGAAAAATGTGGATCTGTGAAATCCAGTCGGGGGTTGTGTTTCGGCTGGATAGGGCTGGTGGTTTCCCTAGTCATCAACGTCGATGAATGCTTGGGTTGAGCTGTCGGACGTTACGGTTTAGTAACTGTTTAGGGTTGGAATTCTCCGTACACCTAGTCCGCGGTATTTTAACCAGGTGAACTTTGTTCTTTCAAACCCCCTTTGTTCGTTTCTGGGTAATGTTATTAGCACCCAGAGTCATCGAGGCTACGATTCTGCAGCCGAAAGCACTTCCGTCTAAGGAACTCACACTTAGTGCTCCAAGATAGACGTATTAACATTGGTCACACTCGACATTCACTGAGTTTTTTCTGCTGTCATCTCGCGAAGGGAATGCTAGATTCTACCCTCGTAAAGTTTGAAACAACCCGACTAAATAAGTTTGATAAAGGAGAAGTACCCTCGCGTGGTTAAGATAGCGCCGGCTAAAATACCGCGGACTAGGTGTAGCTGCTGACTTCGAGGTACACATGATGCCCAACCCGTGCACGCGAATTTGCCCTGTACCGGATGGAAACCCTGCACCCGAGGTTTTTTCCCCAGCCAGTTGCACGCCCGCTACAAGCGCGTTACGCAAGTTGCAGTGGTTATGAACCAATTGTAACGAACAGACCGAAGTCATACTGAAGAGACTGAAGTCAAAATGTCAACAGATAGGTTACAAAAGTTTTATAAGCACCTGACGAATCCTTTTTTGCTAGCTGCGAATCGACGAAATTTAGGCGAAATTCGAGATACAGCTTATAAGCTTTCTTTACAAGGCAACCGGGAGTGGCTCAAACGGGCATCATGTGTATACACGAGAGGGTCTGTGTACACCTAGCCCGCGGTATTTTAACCAGGTGAACTTTGTTCTTTCAAACCCCCTTTGTTCGTTTCTGGGTAATGTTATTAGCACCCAAAGTCATCGAGGCTACGGATCTGCAGCCGAAAGCACTTCCGTCTAAGGAACTCACACTTAGTGCTCCAAGATAGACGGATTGACATTTGTCACACTCGGCATTCACTGAGTTTTTTCTGCAGTCATCTCGCGAAGGGAATGCTAGATTCTACCCTCGTAAAGTCTGAAACAACCCGACTAAAGAAGTTTGATAAAGGAGAAGTACCCTTGCGTGGTTAAGTACCCTCACATGATGCCCGACCAGTGCACGCGAAATTGCCATGCACCGGATGGAAACGCTGCCCCCGAGCTGGAAACCCCTGCTTGCTGCTCCCACAGTACAAGCACATGGGTGGCTGGCAACAGTACACGCGACTCGGCCATCAATGCACGTGCAGTCCCGAACAAGCCATGCCGACCCACTGTTGCCTCGTTTCTAGGCCAGGAGTCGGAGAGGCGAAATGGCTGGACGAAACGACTATGGTTTCGTGAACGCATTCTCCCATCTAGGCCGCCACCTAAGCAAGGATCATCGTGCGTGTAACAGGCATTTGGTCAGATACAAGCTGTCACGTGTAATTCGGGACTTGCAAGGTACAAGCGCATTACCAGCCAGGCGTGCTTCGCCCACCCCACGTCAGACATTCGAAGGTGTGGTTACCAAACCACACGATAAAAAATGCAAGCCATGTGCATGGAACGAACACCAACCACAAAATGTGACATGCAACAAAGAACAGGCCCCAGCTTTGCCCAGCACGCCCGACCTATGACGATAAAAATCGAACAACTAATTCACAAAGTCAGCATTCTCTCACACCCCAGCCGCTCACAATGCCCCGCTTTAATCGAGGGAGCAGCTCACGCTCCATATCAAGCGCGCTATTTGCGCGCACCACGTCGACAACCCCCGCCTGCGTCATGTTGACCTGGCGAGGTGGTGCTACACGCAGTACGGATTGCGCCCGGATCGCTCCACTATCGACCGCATATTGAAGCTCGCCGAGCGATGGGCTGTCACGGCAACCGGCGACAACCAAGTGCGCCGTCGAGGTGGCGCATGGCCTGAGCTGGAGCAGGCCATGGCGCGGTGGATCGCAAACGCAGGGCCCGCTGGCGTGCCTCTGACGCTGCAGACCATCCGCGACCATGTCGCGACGATGTCCCGGAACATGGGCATTCCGCCCTCATTTTGCTGCTCCATCGGCTGGGTGCGCCGTGCTTTGAGGCGCCAGGGAGTGAGGTGCCGTGCAGCACAAGGCGAGGCGGCTAGCGCGGACATGGCCGCCGTGCGCCACGCACGTGAGAAGCTGCCGCAACTCCTCATGCATCTCGGTGTCACCCCGCGGGACACTTTCAACCTCGATGAGACGGCGCTCTGGCTATCAGTCCTCCCTCGGCGCACTTACAGCAACGACCGCATTTCCGGCCGCAAAGTATCGAAGGAGCAGCTCACCGTGGCATTCCTCGTGAATGCTGACGGGAGCCACGTATTCCGACCGCTCGTGATCAGTAAGGCGAAGCGGCCGCATGACTTCCGCCCGGATTATGACCCTGCATCCCTTTGCTACTAGCGGCACTATGCGAAAGGCTGGATGACCTCGCCAGTAAGCTCGTCGTGTTTTTTTGTGTCGTCCGTTCTTGTTGCTGCGGACAAAGTACGCGTAATATCAAATCTGTATGGAATGTGTTTGTGCTTACAATGTTCCACTGTACGTTCCGCCTTCCCCTCCCTTCCCGTCCCTGCAGTTATTCACACATTTCATATCGCAGCTCAATGCTGCGATGTACGCCGAAGGTCGCAAGATCGTGTTGCTACTCGACAACGCGAGCAGCCACATGCTCCGCTCTGAGCTCGCATGGAGCGAGATCGTCTGCGGCATGCGGACGACCTGCATGAGCAACGTGCGGCTCGTCTTCCTGCCGCCGAATACCACCGCATTCACACAGCCGCTCGATCAAGGCATCATAGCCACCGTAAAGGCCCGCTACCGACAGCATTGGCTGCGGGCCTTCTCGGCTTTGTGGAACGGCGACGGCGCGACTTCCGCCGTCGCGCGTTTCCGCCCGAACTTGCGCGATGTCCTCGCGTGGCTGTCGGACGCGTGGACCTCGGTCGGCGCGCGCACCATTCAACGGTGCTGGTGGCGCACGGGGTGTCTGCCGCTCTCGTGGTCCCTGGAGCTGACGCAGGTACACGAAGATGAGCCCTCCCCCGCCGTCTACCCCGACATCGAGCTCGACGACGACATCGACGATGTCGGGACGCTTATTAGCGGGCTCGCCCTCGGGAATGCGGCGATGACGGCCGCAGAGTACGTCGCCATCGACGACGACGAGCCAACGTGCGCCGAGGGCGCTGCGGGACAGCCCACGACTGAGCCGGAGGCGGGCCTAGAGGTGGAGCTCTGGCACGCGCCGACGACCATGCAAGCCGTCTACGACGACGCCGACCCAGTGTGCTGCGAAGCGCGGCGCACTGCACGGGCGGCATGCGAGATGCTCATCGGATATGCACGGGCCACCCGCATCACGCCGCGCGATCTGTGCCATCTGTTCGATATCCGCAACCCCATCGTAATCGCGCGGATGGAGCGGGCGAGCCTGTCATTCCACCTCAACGTGGCGCCTCAGCCCGTACCCTCCCCGGGCGCAACTCCCACGCCCGAGACCCCTCGTCCGCGCGGCCGTGTGCTGCCCGGCTGGATGACCCGTCCGTCTCGCCGTCAGGAGTTGTTTGACGCCGGTGTGGGCGCCGTGATGGACGGGTATGTGGACGCGGCTGAGTGGATGCGTCTGTGAGGGGGGGGTGGAGCAGACTTCGCAAGGTGTCGAAGGCATTTTGCTGAGAGCCCAAGTGTTCACTCCTTGTGCCCATTTGTGCGTGTTTCGTTTTGTGTGTTGAATGGAGATGATGGGCCAGGTGGAGGATGTTGATTGGAAGGTGTTTGTGTTTTGACTGTTTTGTACTACGAAGAACAATTGTTGTGCATGCTTGTTTCGGTACTGTAGCGTTCGTTTAGTAACCCTAAACATACAACAGGGACAAGTGCTGCAACCCCTTACTATTGCGACACAGACAAACTGGGTGGTTACCATGTGCAGTTTTGAAGCACGCTGGACGCCTGACAAAATTCACGAATGCCCCGCGAAATGTAGGTTTAGCTTACAGACCCAGTTCACAAGGCAATCGGGAGGGGCTCTAACGAGCATCAGGTGGACCGCGGACTAGGCGTATGACTGTTGTCGGTACTGTTCCCGTGACCGCGCGGCGGTTTTCTGCCCGCCGTGCGCCCCGAGGCGTGCGGCGGTTCTCTGCCCGCCGTGCGCCCCGAGGCGCGCGGCGGGTTTCTGCCCCGTCACACAGCGCGTCGCTCCCAGGAGGCGCTGCGACGGGCGACGGGGACCCGCGCGTCGCCCTTTGTCGCCTGTCGTGGCCTGCGCGCGGCCCGTACAGGCCCGCGCGCGGCCTGTACGGGCTGCGCAAGGCCCGCGCGCGGCTCGGGCCGCCTGCGCGCGATTCGGGCGGCTGTGCCAGGCCCGTGGGCGGCCCGTTCTTCGCTGCCCCTGCGCTGCCCGCTGTCCCCCGTGCCTCTGATGGCGCCCCACCCCTGCTGCTGCCCGTTCTCCTGGATTAGGGTTTGGGGGTGGGGGGTATGGGGGTGCAGCTTCTGTATGCCGTCCCCTGCTCCTCCTCCTCCTCCTCCATCTCCCAGTGCTGCAGCTGCCGCTGAGGGGGGTGGACCTGTTGGAGCCGTCGGAGTGGTACTAAGGGGGGTGAAGGGGGAGTGGAGCTAGGGGTGAAGCAGGGGGTGTGTGTCATGGGGAGTGGGACTGTTTGGGGAGGTTGAACGGAGGTTGCCGTCGTGTCGCCAGCAGCACCTGTAGTCCGGGGAGTTGCTTCGGTAGCCCAGTCGCAGCCAGCTGTGCCAGTCGCCCGTGGGTCCGTTGCTCGTCTGCCGCTACTTTTAGCCGCGGAGCCAGTTACTCCAGTAGTCCGGAGCGTTGTTCCGGTAGCCGCTGTGCCAGTGTGACTCCTTTTGCCCGTGTGTCTGCAGCTTCAGCCGTCGCCTCCTATCTCCTCTTCTCTCACTGTCCCTCCTCCTCCTCACTTGCCCGTTGTGACTACCACTAGCTTTGCTCATAATTGTAAACTTTAAACTATTGCTTCTTGTACTTGTGCTCAGAATGTGTGGTGACATTGTGATCCACCCTGAGCTTGTTCTGCTTTGCTTGCTCTGCTGATTACACCCCACTTTGGCTATGGGGCTGTGTCAGAATGTTATTGTTCTCTAGCCTGCAGTGGGGTACTCTATAGCGAG